TATATATTTTTATTAATTTATATATATATTTTAAATTTTTATAAAATAAAAATAATTATTTTATATCTAAATTTATTTAAATATATTAAAAATTATCTTAAAATAATATATAAAATTTTAAATTTTAAAAATCAATAAATTAATTAAACTGAGCTAATAGTTTTTTATTCTAATCGAATTATATCATATAAAAATTTAATTAGAATTTAATTCAAATTTTAAAAATTTATAATTTTATTTATTATCAAAATAAATTGAATTTAAATTTTAAAAACTTATAATTTTATATATTATTCAAATAAATTAAATCGAATTTGATTTGACTCTGAATTATTATCCCCATATTGTAATACCCTAAAATTTCATCTCATATTGTAATACCCTAAAATTTCATCACCAAGGAGATGAAGTGTATATTTTCTTAGTCGATTATCCACATACCACAGGGCCCATTCAAACATCCCTGTCTATGATCTATCCTGCCAAGTTTCCAGTAATTCAAGCAAACCTTACTCCATGATTGGGCCAAATCCAAGCTTAAGACAGGAACGAGATCCGATAAAGGTCGTCGTCCAAACCCACCAAGTGGTACGTGAATTATTATCAGTTCGTCCTTTCCCACCCCTGCCCGATCTGCCCTCTACAAAAGAAGACGTGACGCAAGAAAGTAACCTTGGAAAATTTTGGCCGTCCAAACTGCCGTAGATTTGGGGACTGAAACTAAAGTAAAAACCATTAACAGTCACCATGGATTCTGATTCAATTTGTAAAAGATATGACATTGACCCACTGCAAAACAATGCTTCTTGTCTCCTAGTGCCCTTCGTTTCTTAAACTAAACGAAGGCAGTGCTAAATTGTAGACCTGTTGGGAGCCCTAAGACACTAAGAAGCAAGGTTTTCATTTTCTTATATGGCTTCCATTTCATTGCCAGTTTGTCTTAAATGACTACATAATTATGATATCTGTGTAGCAAATTAGCAAATTATAGTTCATTTGCTTATTATGTATATATACTTATGCCAACCTTTGACCTTATGATCATAATGACAGTTTAACGTCTTGTATTCAGATATTTGATTCAATCATAAATTTTTTTTTTTTCATCTCAAAATATTTATTATGTATTGATTTTTATGAAATTAAAAAAAAAGCTTAATGTATTTAATATTAAAATTTCATAAATTTTAATATCAAAAAATAAAAAATTTGTAAAAAATAATTTAAAAATATATAAAAAGATAATAAATATTAAGATTTTTAATATACATTATCAAATTCTAGAAATTGTACTCAATGATATATGCATAATTCTATATGTTCAAACAGTACTTGAATTCAAATAAAAGCAGCAATATATGCAAAATCTCCCCCATCTCTCTTATAAATCAAACAATTGCCATATTTGTTGTATAAATTAGGGTTTAAAGCTAAAAAGAAACATTTCCCTTCTCAAATGCTAAAACATAGAACTGGAGATTTTTAATATGGCTTTACGACCAGTTCATAGAATTTAAAAAGAAAAGGAAAATAATAAAGTAGCAGGACAAAGCAAAATTGGCCATTAAATCAAAATGCCACAGATAAGAAGTTTGATAGAAAATCCAAAACTAAGCTGTCACCATTGATCTGGAAATTTTGATAATTGCAACCTTACATATTCAATGTATTTGATCAATGAAAGATAAAGCTATGTAGGTTCATAGACCCTTGGTTTAGCGATACTCAGTACATAAATTTCATTGATTTTTTTAATCGCATGCATTGCACTTATAGTGATGACTGATGATTTTTCTTCTTTCTCATTGATTATTGGCTTTGAAAAATAGAAATATTCTTAGCAGCAGCACCAGCAATCAGCTTCTCCCAAATGTGCCATTACAATTTGCAAGAGTTTAATATTCCTTGTTACCCGTTAGAATTTGGACGTGATAATGTTTAGGATAAAATCAAATTTAGTTTAATTTTTTTAAATAACATATAATATTATATATTTTTAAAATTTATTTAAATTTAAATAATTATTTTTAAATTGATTCGATTTAAATTTTATTAATTTAGTTCAGCTTAATGAATTTTTCAATTAATTTTTTATAAATGATTTTAATAAAATTTTAATAGATTTATATATATAATACTTATTTTATTTTATAAAAATTTAAAAAATATATAAATTAATTTTAATTTAATATTTTTTATATTTTAATTTAAAATTTAATTTAATTTAATATATATTTGATATTTAAATTTGATCCAAATCAAATAAAAAAACAATCCAAATTAAATTAAATATGATATTTTTAAATTTATTTTTTATTTTTTAATTTTTTTCTCACCCATATTAGAATTTGACTTTTTTTTTTTCTTTTACAGTTGTTAGGTTTCCCAGGGAAACGTGTAAGAGAACGGGTGCTCTTTCATGTTGTCCCGCTTCAGATCCAAAAAGGGCAAAGAAAAAACCTCCATACCCTTTTGAGATGATGATGACAAAACAAAAAAAAAAAGAAAAAGAAAACAATACTGCCCAGACCTCCTTTTTGGGATAAGGATCTGCCCAAACCTAGCTAACTGGTAGTGGTCCGTACTCACTGAAGTTTTCTTCAGATATTTTCATGTGGGGTAGATTTTTTTTTTTTTTTCTCTAGAATAAAGTACTTGTTACACATAAGTAAACCCTAACCTCAACAATAAAAAATTAACCACTGAATACAACTTAAAGATTTAAATTTAAATTTTATTACATTTAGCCAATTATTTTTTGAATTAATTATCATATTATTAGAATTAATACTTAAAAATTACGAATTCAAAAAAATTTAAACATGTAATATTTTTTTCAATAAGATATATAATAAAATTAAAGATTTAAAAATAAATTAAAATTAAAAAATTTTATTACATGTAAGTTTGGTTTAGTTTTAATTTTATGTTAAATTTATTTAATTATATTTTAATTTATTGATTGATTGATTTAATTATTTAATAATTTTTATAAATAACAATTATAATTGATTATGTTTATAATTTGTATTTGTAAATTCATCAAATAAAAATATTGTGATGCTCCCTTATGCTTGAAATTATTTTCATAAAACAATTGCCAAGCACTTCCTGTTTTTGATAACAAAGAAAAACCCCCCACTCCTTTTGCTCCCCCTTTGCCAATCCTTCGATTAAAAAAACAAGAAGAAGAAATCATACAACCAGTTATTTTCAACTTGAGTTCCCCAAGCATTGACTCTCCTATCCTCTTCTCAATGGAACAATAATGCAATGGTTAATTTGCTATTATTTTATATTAATTGTAATCGCTCTATATTATATTTAAGGTTTAATCCTTAAATATATATATAATTATTTGAAACAATAGTGTGATTTATGATAAAGTATTAAAATTTTAATTTTAATGATTAAGATTTAATTATTAATAAATTTAAATATAAAAATTTATTCAAACAACTTTAAATAAAAAAAGAATTTACAACTTTTTTATATGTATTAGTGACTTCATTCTTTGCATAATAAAAACTGAGAATTTTTTAAGTTTTGAAAATTATAAGATGGGATTACTTACAAAAATGACCATTTGTATTTTGGTGACATTTCATGCCTTTTCATCGTTATAAAACCATAGCTTTCAACCTAATTTTTGAGAGTTACAAATTGAATTTGTTAAGGAAACGAATTTTTCTTTTTCTTTTTTTTTTTTTTGGTTTGAGGGAATTTGTTCAAAGAAAATAAAGCTCCATTTTTTTATTAACTTACTTAAAAAAATCCCTTTCAATTTAAATAATATAAATATTTTTTTAAAATCATTTTCTACAAACAAATCTAAATCAAAACATAAATTTTGAAAAGAAATACTAGCTCACTTTTCCTCCCTAAACCAAGGATTTTTAGCGTCTCGATAAAAATGTAAAACTTGATTTTCAAGCATTGAAAATCAAACAGTATGGTAGGAACTAGGAAGGAATTGAACCAGCTAGGTAGTCATCTCAGTCTTTGGGTTTTCTTTTGTTTTTTTTTAATTTCATGAAAGAAAGTTATTTACTACTGGTAAAAGTGAAGGAAACAGTGTCCCTTTGAGGTAAAATTTTGCAGAGAATGCAGGAAGTAGAAGGCGATCTAGCCCCAATGAGAAAAACCCACCTCGGACCCAGGCGAGTTGAAGCCCTGGGAGGGTCGTAAAGGCCGGTTTTTGGGGTGCAAAGGACAAGTGGAAAGTGAAAGTTGTCAGTTCTTTACCCACCACAGTTCTACATATCTTTGTACGAAGATCAAACTGTTTAAATGATTAAATCTATCATCTATTGCTTACTTCTTCATACTAGCCATTTCTATGAACAAATGCTGACGATACAGGGAATTCTTTTTTCTTTTGTTTTCATTTTCTCAGCATCTTTTTCTAACAGTTTCCACTTTCCGCAGAAAAAAAAAAACACACAGAAAAGCCAAAGTTATCATTACATATGTAATCAGATACAGGTGATATAAGGTAAAGGAAAAAAAATAATTTAGTAGTATTTAGTATGTATAGATTTCTTTATTTTAATGTTTGTCTTGTGTTTCTTTGTCTTCTGAGAGACTGGTTTCAATTCAACAAACACTAGAGTAGGTGATGATCCTGTGGCGGCGTTTACGCTGCTCTTATTCCCCATTTCTAAACTCTTGAGTTCTTTAATTGTTGTTGGTGGTGGTGAGAGATCAAAAGCAAAGACTTTCTCCCCTTGCTGGTTTCACGGATGTGTAAGGAACAAACCTGAGAAACCCAAATCAAATTACACGAGTCATAAACTCAAAAATATCATGTCTAAAAACACACGACAAACTCCATCAAGAATATAAAAGCACCAACATCATTTCTACCACCCACCTAGACAAACATCTTCCTTGTTAGTGCAGTATAAAAAAGAAGACAACGTAATTTGTCAAGCTGAAGAAGAAGAAGAAGAAAAATCGGAAAATGAGTGGGTTTTATACTAAGTTTTGAATAAATGATTATGTCGAGTAGGCAGGGAGGATTTGAAGGCACAAGGTGCCAAGACTGTGGAAACCAAGCGAAGAAAGATTGTGCTTACATGAGGTGCAGGACTTGTTGTAGGAGCAAAGGATTTGAGTGTCAAACTCACATCAGAAGCACTTGGGTTCCTGCCTATAGGAGGCGTCAGAGGCATCAGCAACTCCCTCCTGTTCCACAGCAGCACCTCCCATTACACAACCCTAAAAGGCTTAGGGAAAATCCTTCTTCAGGTACAGTTGCAGCTTTATACACACAGATCTATCAACTATACTATTTTCAAAATAAAACCACTTCATTTATTGGGATATTCATAGCAGGTTGCATTCCTAGTAGCTTTCTTCTCTTCTTTCCTTTTTGTTTATATTCTACTGTCAGAAATGAAATTTTGACAAGGACATAACTATACAAGGATAGCCAACCAGCTTCTGCCATGTCTCAATCTTTTTTTTTTTTCTATTGTAAAGCTGATTTGCTTGGTTTAAAATTCCATTCTTTTTGTTGGTCTTTTTTTAGGGTTAGAAGTGGGAAATTTTCCGGCTGAAGTGACTTCTCTGGCAACATTTCGTTGTGTTCGAGTGAGCTCCTTTGAAGATTCAGTTGATCAGTATGCTTACCGGACGAGTGTGAGTATTGGAGGGCATGTGTTTAAGGGTGTTCTCTATGATCAAGGCCCTGATCAAGTTCATCACTCACTAGGTGAATGCTCCTCTCGTGAGACACAGGCGCAGCCAAATGAAAGCAACGCTGCTGCTCTAACAATGGCTACTACCACTACAACTTCGACTTCGGTTGCTGCAGAAACTCTTCTTCCTTTTGCATATGCATCACCCTTTAATGCTTTCATGTCAGCTGGTACGCAATTTTTCCTCAACCCAAAATCTTAGAAACATTTTGCATATGGGAAAGTGAAAATTTGAAGGAAAAAATGCTTTAGAAAAAGCCTGTTTTGCTCCAAGCAAGTCTAATCATCTTTTGAATTAGAACTCCCATTTGCGTGCCTTCTTGGTCATAGCAGCTCACTAGTAGTTGCCCTAGTACATATCTGACATTCATAAAAAATTCAAAAAGAAATAAAAAGGGGGAGAAGTGAAAGTTTTTGTATTTTTGTTTCCAAACTCCAAGGCCTGCAATAATATGATCTTGTCTCTAAGATTAAAATGTGGCAACTTACAGATTCGTTTAACTGTTTATCTTCTTGCTTATTTATTTGTTTATTCTTATTCTCTCATGAGTTCAATTTGAATCGGCATTCTCTTTGTTTTATGAACTTCAAAGCCACTTTTTTCCTGTTTATCCGTTTCTCTGCTGGTCCCTAACCGAGCCTGCCACCTGACATACAAAGCACTTCTTACATGCTTCAAAACTACCAAAGATTTTGAGATGATTAACTTTTATATGTTTATGGTTAATTTGCTGTATTTGTTTTAATTTCCCAATGCATAAGCATCAAACTTAACTAGCTATATTCAAAATGCATGAAGCATGCAAAAGGATTGTGGTTATGATCTGCTAAAACTGCAGAAAACAGGAGAAGGTGGTTCACTTCATGAGCAAACTTATCACACTTTGTCACATTTTTGACATACAATTTTTTATTTATTAATGCATTGAAAGATTTAATTAATTAGCATAATGTTGTATGCATATCTTTCTAACTTCTTGTTTGGAATTATAGTATGTTTTCATGTTCATGCATGCAATCTTTTGTGTGTGTCTCATGATATATGGTATAATCCTGGTTAGTTGTGGCACACACCTTATATTAATTTAATCAAAATTGGTGGCATGGGAATCGCCCCCATCTATGGCTATAAAGCATGAGCTAAGCTCTCGAGATGAATAATTTATGGTTTAGAAGTTAAAAAAGAGTATATATGTGGGGGCATCTCATGGAATTTAGGTGATAAAGGCTTTAATTAGAAAGCATTACATTATAAGGCTTCAAGTTTTATTTTTTATGGTAAAGACACAAGTCAAATTATGTAGGAAAAGGTTGATGCCCCTCAATGAGAAAAAAAAAAATGGAATATATCCTTTGTACTTGAATTGAAAGAGAAAGAAGGTACCAAAATCAGTAGTATATACAGCAATGATGCTATTCTGCATAAAATGCATCTAGAATCAGACTTTCTGCAGAAAGTTAGGAAGTGGGATTCCTCTTTCAGGATAGCTGTCCTATTATAGTAAGAAAAACGTTATTAGAAGGAGAGATGAGACAATTAAAAACTTCTGAAGGAAGAGATATTTGGTGCAGATTATAAAAGCATCATCTTAATTAATTGATTTCAGTTCTCATATTTGGAATAAAAGATTATAACCTTATAGTTCATTAGAGCAGATGGTTGTCGTCTGGTTAATTGAACTATAAACAAGAACTATTAAAATTAAACTGATGATCGTATTCTCTGCCCTTTGCCTCTCTTTATTGTGAAATTTGCTTTCAGATCCATGTTGGGTTAATGTCTCCAAAACTATTACTCAACCTGTGCTAGCTAGGTCAAACTTGTTGCTGCTAAATTGTTATGATCAGATAATTTCGAAGATTGTTTTATTCATGTAATTTACTAGTTATGTTGAACATTGATCATGAGACAGTGGCAACAAACTTCTACTTAGCCAATACTTCTGATCAGTGTATATTAATCTGAGTTGATCATCTCCAATCTCGATGAAACTAGATAGACCATGAGCTCCAGAACGGGTGAAATCAAATTGGTTATCATGATGGCGAATAATTATCATTTTACGTTAAAAAACATGCATATAATCCATCTTGTTGAACTCAAATATGGTTGGTTTTCATTTCCCAGCTTGATTTAACTCTCTTAATGAACTCTTCTGTCTGCTGGATATATTCAAGATAATTGTCTCCATTATTATTACTATTATTATTGTTATGTTGATCATCAGTTTTCATTTCTGTCCACCGTCGAATCCAATGCAGACAGATCTTTTCCATGCTAGAATTGTCAAATAGTGGCACCTCTCAATCAGGGAAGACTGAACTTGTCATCGCCTTCAAAAGGCTATGTATAATAATGTATATACTTTGGTGAGAGAACCCAAAGAGTCAGAAAATTTTGTGATGAACCCTAGTTTTTATTTTTCAACGGTGGTAACCCTAACCTACCAAGGGCGATGCTACTACAGCAATGGTGGGATCATTTCTTACTCCATCGATTGCCTTTTGCTATAGTAAATTTGGTTTTGTTTGCTATAGATCCTGATTTGCATTTTTCATTTTTTCACTAAGCCGTATGGGCTGTGAGTACTCTAATCCAATGACGCACTCACCTTTGGGTTCTTTGTTTTGCTTGTCATTTCTTTCCTTTTAAGTTTTACAGCAAACAAATCCATCCATTGGTCCATTATTCATGATCCGTTCATGGCTCCAGCGAGCCATTGATGAGAAATTAAACCAATCTCATATATTTATCTCCACATTAATTATTCCAAATCTTGTTAATTAATTAATGCGAATTTATTGTTCAAAAAAGAAAAAAAAATGCACCTTTACAAAATAATATTACTAATTTCAAAGTAAAATTTTCTATTGATGATATTTTGGCAAGTGTTAATAAACATCTTTCCTTATAATACGATTTGAAATTTCTTCAAATTTAAAAAAAAAAAAAAAACTTGTTTTTTATATAATTATATTTTAATAAGGTTAATAATAAGCTTTGCAAAGTATGATTTATATTTTACCAAAATAACCTAATTAAAGAAAATAATCAGATATGGACAAAAAAAAAATTGATGTCAGTCAATTACCCCTAAAAAATTACTACTATAATTTAAGGGAAAGAAAATTATATTTTTATTCATGAATCATGTACGGACCATTTTTTCAATGGGCTTAACCACAGTGGGCCATATGTGCCGAATCAGCCTTGTTCGTTTAAGCATGAACAATGGGCTATCATCAAGTACATTTTCCGCTTAAACGGGCATCTACTTTGTATTGTACCTATTAAAACCAAATCCAAACCCACATCTATTATTTTTTTGATGAGTCTGTTAATACATGTTCAAATATATTCATAATTTGATTTTAATTGAATTAATCAGTTGAATAATTTTAATTGAATTAATCAATCAAATTAATTTAATTTAATTAATCAATTAATTATTAAATTAATTTTAATTGATTATCAAAAATAATTTAAAAAAATTTTAATTTTTGATTAATTCAATTCGAAAATCAAATTAATAAAAAATTTAACTATAATATTATAAAACCTGTATATAAAATTAAAAATATATGAAATTATTCATTTCATTTCAAGTTATTAAAGCTTTTAACTCAATAATTTGATGTTTGAATATTTTTATTTGATAATTTTATTTAATTTATTTAACATGTGAGAAAATAAAATTTTAAAATATAATATAATTTAATATATTTTATTATTCGATTAATAAAAAATTTGATCGAACAATTCAAAATAATTTTAATCAATTAATTTTTAAAATTAAAAAATTTAACTTGATTAATAAAAATAATTTAATTTAATTAATTTAATTTTAAATTAATTGAATCGATCAAATGAATATCTTTACACAAAATTGCTCTACGTGGTGTTTACACTTGTGGAAGGGGAGCTCCGCTGCTGGCTTGACTGCTTATGTCACCGAGGATCCTGAAAGAGGGGGAACTGTATGATATGTTTTTCTTACTCTTTCTTATGTATATATTAATTGGGAATGAGGTGGTTGATTTTCATTTATGACACAACCTTAAGGGGTTTTGGAAAGTGAAGCCTTTGTTCTGAGTGACAGACTGACACAGGCATTCGCTGTGTCGATGAATAACGAATGGCACAAAATGAATTATCTGGCTGAACAGTGATTGAACGATGCAAATCGGAAGGTTACTTTCTATTTATTGTTATAAATAACATAAAAACAGGTTTAGATTATTTTATTAAATTTTCGAAATGATTTCAGCAAAAAAAAAAATATTCATCTAAAATTTATATGTCAAAGATCATTTTTTCAATATTTAAAATTTAAATCAGACATTAGAGAGCGTATAATTAGCCATTTTAATGTGACTTTTCCTTCTTTGAATAAGCATCAGAGGCTTTTAATTAATTATTAAAATGACAAAAGATCCAAATACACCGTCGTCGTCATCTAAGATCGAAAGATTTCTAATTAAGATAATACTAAAAAAAGTGATTTAGAGGGTAAAAAAAATACTTACAGCATTCTCAAAAAAAATTATACTTCTTTGGTTTTAATTTATTTTTTATGTATTAATTTTTATAAAGTTAAAAAAATTATGATTTTAATGTATTTAATATTAAAATTAAAGTTTTATAATTTTGCATGTTAAAAGTAAAAAAAATCAAAAAATAATTTTAAAATATAAAAATAAAATTTTAGATATTAAAAAAGATGATATAATTTTAAAATATTCCAAAAAAAATGTAACAAAAGGAGTAAAATTACTCGAACAGTAAGAAAATAAAAGGCTTACGTGCAAGGTTGTGGCGGTTATGAAAAAGAAGACGAAATCTGTACGATCTACAACTCTCACCCAGTTTCCTTTTATCTCTTTCTCCTGACCGTGCGTTTTTGTTATTTTTAGTACGCGCATATTGATTGGTCTCTAAAATTAAAAACAAAACAAAAGGCAAATACTCGAGAGATCGATCTCGACGTGCTTTCTCGTGACGGAAAATTAACAGAATTAACCGGACGGGAGTCAATGGGAGACGTCCGTGGAGGATGCTGCCCGCCGATGGATCTGTTCCGTTCGGAGCCGATGCAATTGGTCCAGCTCATCATCCCCATGGAATCGGCTCACTTCACCGTCTCTTATCTCGGCGACCTAGGCCTCCTCCAATTCAAAGACGTCCGTACACTGTCTTTTTACTTGTGAACACTTCTTAATGCTACTATTCGA